ATTTTGGCTGAAATATGAACTGGATCTGTTTCGTGAGACTGACTGAAAAGAAAAGCACACTCATCTTCAGTTTGTAGATGTTATCCTTCAGAAGCTCAAACACATCACGAAACCAGAGTTCACTTTAAATCTCGAAACACGCCAGCTTCATTCCCATATCACTCATTGTCCCGTGGTGTGCTCGGCTAATTAGGCTGTGTGATTGGCTCAGGTGTAATTAAAGGCGATTGGGTGACAGTGCTGGCATTTGTCACAGCATCAAACAGCAGAAATGTCAGACGGATAACGCTGGTTCAGTCTGAGAGCCACTCATAACCTTTAGTGCTCTGAACGGACGAACTGTAATGAGTCCAGCCGTGTCACTTCAGGTATTTATGGAGCAGATGATCTTTGATATGCTAATTGAAGTGCGCAGTAATGGCTCTCCGTGATGCTGGATCATCTGAGCAGACGTCTTCATCGAGCCATCAGTTTTATGAGCTGCGCTGAGATCAGATTAATAGACTGAAGAAACCAAAGCAGCAGCTGTTTCCCATCAGAACATCATCATTTACTCTCCCTGCAACTCTAACCAGAGCTTCAGCTCAATGCTGCTATTCTCTGCTTTTTGGACATCAGAAGATTCAGAAAAATCAAGGAGTTTTTAAAATTACTTTTGGTGTAGTCATGATAGGGAGATGTAAAATATGTGTCCACCCTGTTATGTCCTCATATGAGGCCGCAGGGTCTCAGGAGGTTAGGGGTCATTTTATATAATAATAATAATAATAATAATAAATGAAGTTATATATTGTTAATGCCTTCTAATAATAATTATTTTATTTTTTTTGGTCAAGCTGTATTACACAAGTGTTGCCATGGCTGACATCTGAATGAGGTAAAGAAAAATCCCCTTTTCTTGTGGAAATGCAAGTAGATGAAATTAATCCGTTGGTTTTTCAACTATAATTTTATATTAAAAACCAAACTTGCATCTTTAGTTACTGCATAGGCCAAGCAAGGGCGTTGTCACTGGCGCTTTACAGCTGCACAAATGTGAAGCCCTCTGCTGTTTTTGTATCATAATTACTGATTTCATCAGCCTGCTATTAGTGTTTATCAAGGCTTATGTCATGGCAGGCTGCCAGTTCAAGCTGCGCATTGCCTAATCACTTATTGACCGGAGTACAAACCACTTAGATCTTCTCAGAAAGAGGTTTTAAGCATATTGTTTCATCTGATGAAGGGTGTTGTGTCAGTAACAATGGTTTTCTCAATAATTTGACCACAAGCCTGTTATATTTTTAGTGGAAAGATGTTTGGGTGAAAATAATCACATATAATATGAATTGTTTTCTTTAGTGTATAGGCAATGCATTAAATGTATTAATGATTTCCACCGTGCAAAGCATTTTATTATAAATCTTAAGGTTTATTATTTTAATTTTTTGAGACTTTATTATTATTATCATTATTATTATTTTCACTTTTATTATAAAAATAAATCATGAAAACTGTAAGATAATAGAATTAGAAGTTAGGGAAAAAATGTAGTGACCAAAAATGCTCGACACACTCTGTTCTTTCTCTCACATCCTGGGATGCTTTATTGAAGGAGTTCTTATGTATGCCAGACATGCTTTTCCTTTACTGTCTGATCAAAGACATACTAAAAATAGTAATCAATTGAATAAAAATTTATATGAAATAAATTAATATTTGTAGGAGTTTACATTTTTTTTAAATAAAAGTAGTTTTGAACATTTAAAGGCTTATTAGATCATGTGTAACAAATTGAGTGAAGTGTGTAAAAAGTGTGATTAGTAGTGTACATCTCTTGCACAGACTATATTAGGTTTTTTTAGTCTGAAGTCCAATGAAATGTGGTTATTTTGAAATTAGAATATTCGTTTTTTCTAAGATGCCAGAAATGACTAAAATTGCTAAAGCTGTTACAAGTGAACAATAAAATGACAGTAGTATCCAGATGAGAGTCAATAAACAGATTTTAAAAGAACAATTTCTCAGGACAAGGATGTCAGGACAATTTTTTTTTATTGTTACATGTTATACATTTTATTTTGGTATTTGTATTATTTAATTGGATTATAGGCCTAATTTGTAAGCCAAAACAATGTTTAGAATTTATTTCTGCGCTGCCCCTTACATTTCTGCTGTCATTAATTACCTTTTTAACTTTAACTTTATATATATATATATATATATATATATATAACTTTTTCACGGTTTATAACGGTCTCATTGTGATATTATAGTCTGACTGCATGCCCAGCTACAACTAGCCTCCCCTATAATATATATATATTTTTTTTCATTCACGTCACCGTCATGTTAAATATGCGATAAAGTATAAACGGGGTTCAAAAATTATTTCTCATTCGCTCCTGTAATTTGCGACCGGTGTGTAATTCATACATGTGCGTTTTGTCGTCAACTATGCAGCCGTGATTTCTGAGCAGTAGGAGGACGGGGCTTTAGAAAGATCCTTGCGATTTAACCCTCGGGCCAAACTCACCTCTCCCTTCCCTTTCGCAAACATCAGCAGAAATATCAGTCTGACCAATGGCTCTTATTCTGGGTTGTGCTTTACGAGCAGAACACTCTGTACAAACACACTCTTACTCCAGCCTCAGCGCGCGCAAAGCCAATCTCAGTGGCTACAGTAAGTGGTGTGTTTTTCTTAATAGTTGTCTGATTGGACAAACCGTATGTCAGTATCTCGGCTCCCTCCACCCCACCCCACCCCACCCCTCTGCTCGGGACGTGTCCTTGTTTTTTTCTTTATTGAAGCAGGGAGCTCCGTGAGTTGTGTGTTAGAAACGCAGCAGCTTTTACGCACAAACTTGTTGCACGTCGAGTTAAATAACCAAACGGTGCGCAAGCTGTAAAAACGCTTTAAAAATTCGCATTCGGATTCCTGGATATTACAAGGATAATGTACGAGGAGAATAAGGTCAACGTGACCACGTACGTTATCTTCAATCGGGATAAATATTTGAGGGTGTCTCTTTTGCAAGTTAACACGCGCGACCAAACTATTTAAAAGAAAACAGCGTTTCGATTTGACACTGTGTGTTTTGAGTAATATTGTTCGGCCCATTGTGTTTATTAATATATTGAATCCAAACATACTGGGGTCAGTTCAGTTGTAGTATTTTGCAGTGCAAGTTTTTTTGTTTTTGTTTTATTTCTATATTATTTTTAAACATGTCAGATTAAAAATCAACACAGAGCTTCTTTGCTATTTACATTTCATATGAAATATTACATGTAACATTATTTGAAGATAATCTAAAAGGGATCTGAAATGTAGCAAGTTTAATCATGAGTGAAGTGTGTAAAAACTGATTGGTAGTGTAGCACCTGAGAGTGATGTATTTATCACTTCTGGAATTGTTTTAAATGCATTTAGGTTTTTAGAACAACTTAAAGTCAGTTTGGGGCTTTTGCTAATGCAGGGTGTGAGAAGTGTATTTAAGTTTCCCCTAAGAGTGTGTTTTCATTCAGATTTTTTTCTGCACAATATAATGAAAAGGAGTCAGGCGAAGTGTTCATGTCATTATGGTTTAATCATCTCATTTATAAAGCAGTACACAATCCACTTAAAATTTTTAATAGGCTCAGTTTGCAACCTTGCACAAATTTGTGGAGGAAAAAAAACTATAAAAAGAAGTACATACAGAAAATGCACAAATGCCACTTTGGATAGTCATAAACAACAAAAAGCTTGACATAAATAAGTTAGTAAAATGTCCTCAGTGTTTTTTTTTGTTTGTTTTTGTTTTGTTGTAATTTTTTTTCTTGAATAGAAAAACATAAAATTGAAAAAAATAAAATAAAAGAAATTTTTTTTTTGAATGTGTACTCAGTAGGATTTGTAGTTCATGAGAATTTACATCATGGCAAAATAAGAGAAAATAAAATTAGTGGAATAACCCGGGGATATAATAATACTGTAAAAAAGCATGAAACCCTTAATACCACACAGTCCCTTCAGAGAAGAACACCACATGCCCAACGTGCTGTAACTTTGGCTGGTAAAATCATATATAAGTACCAATAAACATGAACGGTATCAATGCAAATATCGAATCATTTTAATTTAGCCAGATCACAGAAGGTGAAAAAATCTGTAATGCTTTTCAAACAGTGACATTTGTGCAACTTAAAAAAATGTACAAGGTTGTGCTGCTGCTGTTGAGCACAACACTGATACACATGAAGGTGTATTTGTGACTGTCAACATCCTGAGCCAGCCAAAACTGAGACAATGGGATTGTTTAACCTAATTAAAGGGAAATGGTGTGTATGTGTGTGTCTGTGTGTTTGTATTTGACATAGATATATTTACTTTAAAAGGGTTCATTTTGGGGAGACGTTTTGAAAACTGCACAGCAATTCTTCAAGTCAAACGCACTCCATTTATAAATGATTGTGTTTTTTTTTTAATCTTAATATTACATTTAAATGTGCTACATATAAAATGAAAGTATATACATAGGTAGTAAAAGAACAAACGAAACTCCAATTGCACACTGCTACATTGTCTGCTTTTGAGGCAAATATATTCTGTCGAGTGCCAAAACTTTAGTGTAAAAATTCAGTGCTTATACAGCCTGTCCAAGGCTCGATTTGTATTTTTCAACCGCTGTCCGTTTACTTCATAAAGCTCTTGAAGTATTTGATGGAGAAAATCATCTGTCTCTGCAGGGAACAAGGGGAAAAAGTTTATTAGCAAAGGAAATAGCATGTCGAACGCGCTTGCAAAAACTTCACAACGACACGATGCATGAAATAAACGACAGACAATTACGGCAACAATATCTGCGCGTAAACAAACGCCCATCTCCACGACGATGTTTAAAACAGGAGCGATAGCGCAGGACAGCGCGAATGAAAAGCGAGGAATTTTGCGCGCAAGTATATGCGTGCATTGTGAACCCAGACCCCCTCCTCCTCCTCCCACGCGCACACCCTACAAGAGACCTGCTGACGTGTTACTACAATGTTATGCATTTGAGTCCCGTTTGGCGCGCAAATAACGCAAGAGCACCGAGACTCCCAAAACATTTACCCTGATCCTCTGTCGACGGTCTTTTTCTCGGCGTGGTCAGCGCCGTTCGGCAATCCGAGCGACTCCCGTGCTCCGCGTTGTCAGAGTCCCCCTGTACGCTCGTTGTCAACAAACAGTCGTGGTTCCCGTTATGATCCACAGTCCCGGTCGAGGTATCCCGTTTTGCGTGAGGCGGTCTGGTGTAAAACTCCGGCACCTCTTTCGCGTCCACCTCCTGCCACTCGTAGTCGCCAGGCGCGAGCGGCTCGTTTTTGTCGAAGTCGTAATTCCATTTTTCCTTGGACGCTTTCTCCATCTCCAGCATTTGCTCCTTGACGTCCCTCGCGAACTCTTCGCGATCCACGGAGCCGAAGAGGTTTCTGCAGACCGCCGGTTTGGCGTGATCCGCCTGCCTCGCGTCCACCCTCTCCAGCGTCGGACTTCCATTGGAGACGCGCACTTTTGACATTTTGCACGTGAAAGTTCGTCCAGAGAATCGCAGTCGCAATCGAACCAGACGCGGTCTAACTAAGAGCGATCCTTCTTCCCGAGAAAGCCGAGCGAGACGCAGAGCGCACGCATAACAATCGCGCGAATGCGTGCGGAAAGGCGAAGGCGCGTGAAAAACAAGTCATGAAAACAGCGCGCGACTCCGATGCCGTGTCGTAGTAATTCCGAAGAAAAACAGACGAGTCATTCGAGTAGGCGAGCACTCAATATGGCGATCGCAAGTAAACTGGCAGGGGAAAAAAAAAGATCGACAGCGAAGGCTGTTTAAACAGAAGACGCTTCTCATTGGCCGGCGGAGCCCGCCCATCAGTGAAAACGATACAAATACTAGAGACTCGCGCTTCCCGCAGTCTCATGTTGCCAGGTCCGCTTATTCTAAGCCAGCGACCCTGGTTTATGTGCGATTTGGTGTAAATGTCGTGAACCCTGGGGCCCGGGACTCACTAGGGGCCCTCGAGATGATCTAAAATGAGAGACAGACATTCCAATGAGTGAAAGCGAGAAAAAAAGGGAGGAAACAATTTAGTTCTTTGTTATTTGAACGTAGTCCTTTAACTATTGTTTCTTTTGAAGAAGAAAGCATTGTTTGAAGGTGGCTTAATTGTAAAAGCGTGATCAGCAAAAATCACGGAAATGTTAAAATGCTGTTGACATTTCTTTGAGGAAAAATGCTTCGTTTTTATCAAGCTGTAAAATATGTCAGAAGTCAGAGAGCGCTATATTGATAAGTATGTTTGCACACAAGGAATTTGTTTTAGGGTCACACGCATCCAGTACACAGAGCAACAACACAGATATAAAAGATGCAAAGAAAATACACATGTATATATAAATGTACCAAATGTATGTAGAAAAATTTATTTTGTATAGATGTGCTATAAATAGAATAGGAAAAGAATATAAGATGTACTAGGATGGAGGGTGGTAACATAAATATAAGGTTATTGCACATTTTAATTGTTCGTGAGGTAGATTGCCTGGGGGAAGAAACTGTTTTTTTTCTTGCAAGTTGAGTAAATGACTAAATTACCGAAATCCAGCAAATCATTGGCCCTTAAATTAAAATATAGTTTGAAAAAGTTTCATACCTTTTGCTAAGTATGAAATGTTGATGTGGCAACACAGGTGCAGATTAAAATTGTGAGAGAAAAAACTAACATGGTGGATGAGTGAACAGGTAGAATTTGTGTAGCAGCTTTACTGCCATCTAGTGGGTGTGTAAATTTTGTTTTTGGGGACATACGTAGCGTTGTTTTAAAAGAAAAGGTGCATAACCGCTGCTGGTCATTGTCTTGGAGGCTGGGGGGGGACCACAGTCATGGTCCCCCTTCTTCGGGTGTTGTCATCACTCTCCTCTTCACTGTCATCGCACCACTTTATTTGCCAATTCACTCTGTGCTCCACCATCCAGTCAGCCGTTCCAGTCTCCAGCTCCTCAGCAATGCCAGTGCTCCATCCTTGGTCTGGTCAGCCACTCCACTCTGGTTCCACTGCACCATCATCTCTCTGGTCCTCCAGCTCCACCACTCCTCGGTCAGCTCCTCCACGGCTCTGTCTGCTCCACCCACTGCAATTGATTAATTGTGGAGATCTGCTTGGATTTGAACGAGGGACCTCAATGCTCAGATCACTGAGCCACAGATCTCCAACTGTGCATGTGCTGGAACTTATACTTCACTACTTACCTGTGGTTTTTGCAACTAAGTCAGGCTCAGCCTCAACTTAAGGCCGGAAGGATCTGGAAGGAGGCAGGTCCGGAGGTGTGGTGTAGCGGTAATGCTCACAACAGGTTTGCACTCCAACAACCGTTTGAGACTCACCTACATCATCAGACATGCATACATCAGTCATTTATCTTTTCAGTCATCAAGTAATCACAACCAATGACACAAACATACACATAAACATCACTTATTTTATAGTTGCTACATGCAACACAAGGCATTTATCACCATCATAAAACCCGTTAGGAAAAATCATCACAGTAAATGACAGCACAGAAATGATTTTTATCAAAACATGCTTTGCTGCCTCCAGTTGCGCAACACAACTACAAATATAATAAAAAAAACAAACTTAATATTGTGTCTGGCCAGATGGCTCACTAGTGTCCTGACTAAATCATTCTAGTATCATGAAGAGGACGTCTTCTGGACACTCTTTTTCCTCAGCACCTCGTTCTGAACATGTTCTGGAAACTGATGACGGTGATCCCGCACACAGGGCAAACAAAAGCGCTTGGTGTAGAACAGACTGCAGTCCTGTCAGAAAACAAACACACACAAGCTTCTTGATATGCTGACATTGATTCCAAAAAATATATATCATAATGATGCTGCCATCGTTGCGCTTCACTGCATGCAAGCATAAAAATATTGTTTGATCTTTACAATTTTGAGCATAATGGAAGAGATGGAGGATATTTTCTATACATTATTACTTTAATTGAATCATTCCAAAAGGAGGAAAACTAATAGCCTATTGGAGAGCTATGTTTTTTGTTTCTTATCAAAGCTACACGTACCGTTCCCACACACACCGTCTTACTGCACAGACAGCACTTGGATCCTAAAACAAGAAACTTTTCTCTCTCTGGGCTGAAGGGATCCTTTATGCCGTAACATTCCTCCAAGAGCCTGCAGGACAAACGACAAAGCATATCTCAATCAATGGCATCCTTCACGCTGTCCTTCATGAAATTATTCAGTCATGTGTAATTGATCAGACATTGAAATCAAGGGACGGTGTGTTAAATGGGCTACTACAAACATTTAAATGAGCTTTTATCTCCGACGTCAGCAGCTTACAAGTCCTTTCCATATCTGGTGCGATAAGCGCTGATTTCAGGAAACACATTTTACAGTTCAGGCCATGGAAACCCTGTAAGTGTCTGCTTTAATGGTTCTAATAACTTTTGTGAAAACAGTGTCCAAATATGGGTGAAATAATCTTCCATTGTGTAACAGACATTTATGTAAAAATGAAACTATTATTTTACAATTATTCTGAACTGTATTTTTTAAAAATTTATAAAAGAAAAAGTGATCACACAACATTTTCTTGTTTTTCCGTGATTACAAACGTATTACTGACAAATGGGTAAAACCTAGTGATTTGAAGGACAGTGGCAAAGATTGGCAACTATTTCAAATTACAATTCATCCATTTTTGGGGGGCTGCACTGTGATCCTTAAATACGGTCTTTTAATTAATTAATCTAATGATTCTCATTCCAAATAAGCCTAACAAGATTTGTTGGTATATGAGCTATTGTTACACTGAATAACATTTTAGTGGATGTCTTCTGTAGATTATGGTAAAAATGTATGACAGGCATTCTTTTCTGCTCAGGAAGAAACAAAAAATGAACAGGACACATTCTTACATATAAAAAATAAAGCTGTATTAAACTTTCGTTTTGATGCTTGAAAACCCCTTTTCATCTTTCTGAAGAAAACTTGACACTATATATGCTAACCAGGCATGCGAGTGAAAGAATAAATTAACTAACTGGGCACAGCTACAACTTATTCATAACTCAAACTACACACACGGCAGGGTGGGTGTGTGTGTGTGTGTGTGTATGTATATGTATATGTGCGAGTGTGACCCTGGAACACAAAACCAGTCTTAAGTCTCTGGGGTATATTTGTAGCAATAGCCAAAAATACATTGTATGGGTCAAAATTAATTGACTTTTCTTTTATGCCAAAAATCATTAGGGTATTAAGTAAAGATCATGTTTTGTAAATTTCCTACTGTAAATATATTAAAACTTAATTTTTGATTAGTAATATGCATTGCTAAGAACTTAATTTGGACAACTTTAAAGGTGATTTTCTCAATATATGATGTATAAATCTCAATTTTGAAAAACTGACCCTTATGACTGATTTTGTGGTCCAGGGTCACATATATATGATCTTTACACATATACACACACACACTACCAGTCAAAGGGTTTTGAACAGTAAGATCGTTAATGGTTTTTTTAAAGAATTCTCTTCTGCTCACTATGCCTGCATTTATTTGATCCAAAATACAGCAAAAGCAGTAATATTATGGAATATTTTTACTATTTCAATTAACTGCTTTCTATTTTAATATATTTTAAAATGTAATTTATTCCTACGCTGAATTAATCTGAGAAAGACGAGCAGACATCAATCACATTAGAGGGATGTGGCCTCGGAGGAATATCCCATTAAAGCTCATTCACATTGTACAAGGCCACATGCAACATTTCCAAGCCAGACACAATATTGTCAAGCTTTGATGGATGATTATAGCAAAAACCAGACGCGGAAATTAAAATCTGATGATTACCCACAATCTGTCCGTTGTTGGTTGTACAAGCTTTGTTTCCTAAACATGTGTGATATATGCGCTGATTGATTCTTTGTTTTTATCCCTTCAAATGTCAGGTTTGTCAGGGGTCAAAAGACCAGGTTGTTGAAAGGTATGTGCCAACCTTTGCCCACACGCATGATTCAGGTCACCTGTGGCATCATAATAAAGCTGTCCATACGCCCTCAATCTGTCAGGAACTGCTAGATATCTGTAATCCACCTTCTCCATGCAAATGTGAGAATATCATACAATAAATGTTAGGAAAGTAGACTTTAGGTTATTATTCACAAGGAGTCACTTTATATGTAATTCCACTGTCCTGGTTGTCAGTATGTGTGATATGTGCACAGATGGCGAGTGTGGAGAGCATGTGCTCATGCATACTGTATATATTAGCCTGTCTGTCTTATTTTTCTAGATTTTTTTCCCCACCGCTGTTTTCCTAGCAGTTTCCCATTTCTGTGTGATATCTAATGAAACACCCTTCAGCCTAATATACTGGCGAGAGTTCATGATATTTATTAATTCATAGCATTCCTCTACAATATTTGCTTTCAAGGAGCTGTAATCTATGTACTTTTCTTTTTAATTTTTGTGTTTTAAAGGAACATATTCAAAAGTTTGGGTTGGTAAGATAAGTCCAAGTCCAAGACTGTATTTGTTTGATAAAATATACAAAAAAGTAACATTGTGAAATATTAGTACAATTTAAATGATCTGATTTCTAAATGAATATATTTTAACATGTAATCTATTCCTGTGATGGCAAAGCTGAATTTTCAGCAGCTATTACTCCAATCTTCAAAGTCACATGATTCTTCAGAAATCATTCTAATATTGTGATTTGCAGCTCAAAAAACATTTATTCTTATTATTAAGTTGAAAACAGCTGAGTAGAATTGTTTAGGTTTCTTTGATGAATAGAAGGTTCAGAACTGAAATAGAAATCTTTTGTAACATTATAAATGTCTTTATCATCACGTTTGATCAATTTAAAACATCCTTGCTAAATAAAAGTAATTTTAATTTTTAGTCATTAGTCTGCTAAATGACTAAAAGTAAAAGTAAAGTAAAAGTATTCATTTCTATAATTTCTTTCCCTAAATAAAATAAATAAATAAAATAAATTATCAGTCGAATCCTGTGCAATGGATTTAAATGCAGTCAAACGTGTTAAATGGAGCTGAGTGTCCTACACTCTTATCAGTAGCTGAAAGCATCATCAAATTAACCAAATATTTAATAAACAAACATGCAAAGGGTGGGGAATGTGTATAATTGTGAGTAACAGGCATCCCAGTTCCATGAAAATCTGCTGAGCTTTCTGTGCATTTCTACAGTCACAGATTCTCATGTCTATCCAGTACTGAACATCAGTGTGCAATTTTTAAGACAAAAAATGTATATGATATATCTGCATGTACGAATGCTGCAATTGAAACTTTTCATGGATCCGTGCAGCAGTCAAAACTGTAACTTATTACAATGTATTTTTTGTTTCCATGATCTTTTTATAAGTGTGACCAGTTTAAATTCAAGATGTACGCAACATAAAGCTAATTCTTATAGCACATCACTATACAGAAAAATAAATGCTATAGATAACATTATTTATTTTAAAGCGGTGTGATTATTATCAGTGTTTTAAAGCTAGCAAGCATAAAAAGAACCAAACTAATGCCATTGGCAGAAATGGTACTAAATTCTAATATACTGCACACTAGGGATGCACCGATACCGATACTGGTATCAGTATCGGGCCCGATACTGGTCTCCTGTACTCGTTAAAATGCCCCGATACCAAACGCCGATACCACACAGCATGTGATAAGCGCCATATTCAAACAAAGATAAGGCATACATGACTTTCTGGCGAAAGTGAATCTAGCAGCCTGTGTGAAATGCGCTAGGCTGTACTATTCTGCATCAGTACAAATACCTGCACGCGTTGCGCGTGTTTTGCTTGCTTGAGTGTTTGTGCATTATATGAGTGGCTTTGGAATATAATTCGCAGCACGTTTCAGATGAAAAAACGCGACTTCTATTTCTGAAAAAGAGAGAGAGAGAGAGAGAGAGAGAGAGAAATCTTTTGTAACAATATACATTACCGTTTAAAAGTTTGGGGTCAGTCATTTTTTTTGTTTCCTTTTTTTAAATAAATTAATGCTTTTATTCAGCAAGGATGTGTTAAATTGATGAGAAGTGATAATAAAGACTTATATTGTACGAAAAGATTTGTCTTTGTTGTTCTTCATCAAATAATCCTGAAAAAAAAGTATCACATTCCAAAAAAAAAATTAAGCAGCACAACTGTTTACAACATTGATAATAAATCAGCATATTAGAATGATTTCTGAAGCATCGTGACACTGAAGACTGGAGTAATGATGATGAAAAATCAGCTTTACATAACAGAAATAAATTATATTTTAAAGTAGAATAGAAAACCATTATTTTAAATATTAATGATATTTTACAATATTAAAATCAGCTTTGCATCACAGAAATAAATAATATTAACATAGAAAACCATTATTTTAAATGGTAATTATATTTTACAAGTGTTTCCCAACCTTTTTTTAGTCGCGGCACCCTTTGGAAATTTTAACAAACTTGTGGCACCCTACAAAATAAATTGTCACAATATTTGAATTTCTAACTTCGATATGATAATTTGAAAAAGTATAGATATTCAGTACAGCAGGGAAGAACTGCAGAATACACTGTCATACAGATATTTTTAATATTATTACAAATGTTTGTCCATCAATGGTGATAATCAGTAGGCTAATTTCTAATGAAGAGACCAATTTATATGACAGATTTTAATTTAGGCTTGCCTTTTATACACATGTAAACATTATTTAATCACCATTATAACTAGCTATCTCACTAATTTTTGCTCACTCGGTGTTTTTTTAATTTTACAGCTGGGTAATTTTGATGCAGTAGCACAAGATAGCTTGATTTCAAACTTTGAATTGAATAAAAAATTACAAGCAGTCAGTAATAAAATAAGAACAAATAAAGACAGTAATAATGATAGCACAAATAAAAAATAACGACAGGCCTTCGAATTAAATAAATTGCTTTTTAGTTTTTCAGGTAGGTCTAACAGTAGTAGTACTTAGATATTTAACTTTTTTTTTTTTTTACCAATTATCCAAATAATGTTTAGTCCTAGAAAGCTATTATTATCAGAACACATGAGCATAACATAGCGGTTAGCAGATCAATGAATGAGAGGGCAGTGTTACCAGAGTTGCCCATATACCACACCATGTTACAACACAGTAGGGCTATTGCAGACAGAAACAATACTGTACTACATCGATGTTTCCTGTCGGCTCAATATTTGAGTGGACTTTGCTGTTCCGATGAGCATGAACGGTATACGAGTGGAGCGACTGAGCAGAGCGCACACGCATAGAGCGGGATAACACGCAGAGCGTCACACCACGTGAAAGTGAAACCTGAGCGGTGAACTCATTTTCGGCAGCCGAAATTTCGGTGCATCTCTAATTATTGGCGACATCAGAAATGGATATTATATAGATGCTTTTTTTGAAAATTTTAGCAATTTAAAAATATTAAAATATGATTTTTTTCACGGCACCCTGGTTGGGAAACACTGTTTTACAATAGTACTGTTTTTTCGGCCAAATAAATGCAGCATAATTAACATTAGAGAATTCTTCCTCCGATAGTGCTCGATGTGAGTTTTGTGACTGTACATAGTTTTGCTGTGCCGTTGACATTTTTTTGAACATTTTAGCAATTTAAAAATATTAAAATATGATTTTTTTCACGGCACCCCGGTTGGGAAACACTGTTTTACAATATTACTGTTTTTTCGGCCAAATAAATGCAGCATAATTAACATTAGAGAATTCTTCCTCCGATAGTGCTCGATGTGAGTTTTGTGACTGTACATAGTTTTGCTGTGCCGTTGACATTCGAAGTCGAACGTAAAATCACTTCATCAGTGTACGAGTACACAAATATAGCTGTCGAGTCGAACGATCGATCAATGTGGATAAACGGTGTAAACAACTTTTGTACTTCATGAACTGCATTATTTTTAATAATCCCGACCTGTTAGTCATTTTCCACACTCATTTTTACTCTACAAATATTAAGATTGTTCACATGGACTATTCGTTTGTCATTTACTCACCGTAATGTCGTTGCAAACCTGTATGAACGAAAAATAAAATATTTTCTGAAAGAAGAATGTTGGTTATGTAACCGACGGTTTTGACTGCCATTGACTTGTATGAAAAAGACAAAAAAAAAACGATAATTGCACAAGACATCTTTTATGTTCAACAGGAAAATAAGTCATACAGTTTTGCAACGACATTAAGAATGACAAAATAACACCTTTTCGGTTTTTTGGGTGTTGTGGCAACCACTTTTGCGTTATTTTGCAGTCTGGTGGCCTGATTCAAAAATATGCCAGGAATGTAATATTCATATATCCGTTTCATTAATTGCATGCCACGGTGACGTAAATTTGACATCCCAGTAAACACACACACACACACACACACACACACAC